GTTCCATGGCTTGCCTTGTGAGTGCAAGGTCTGGAGTTCAATTCCGGGTACAAAAAAAAAAAAGTTCAAACAAGTATGTGCCACCTTGCATGACATTTTATAAGTAGGTTCTTCTTTATCAGTCTTTTTTTTTTTTTGGTACCAGGAATCAAACCTGGGACCTTGCACTTGTGAGGCAGGGGCAGCACCACTGAGCTAAATCCCCGGCACCCTTGCACTTGTAATCCCAACTTCTTGGGAGGCTGAGGTGAGGCCAGCATGCATTTGGTGAGACTCAGCTTCACAGCACCCATACAAAGCCCCCGGCACCCTTGCACTTGTAATCCCAACTTCTTGGGAGGCTGAGGTGAGGCCAGCATGCATTTGGTGAGACTCAGCTTCAAAATATGAATGAATGGATGGCTAGGGAGCTCCATACTCCCTTCATTCAATCTCCAGTAACACCAACACCAATGCACACACACACACACACACACACACACACACACACACACGCTTACACATGAAGGAAAAAAGAAAAACCATCTATAAAATATTTCAAACATTGAAGGGAGCTCATCAAGTGAAGGAAAACTATTTCCTTATTCATGATGGAAGTCCTAGGAAACTCTGCCCCTTTTCCTCTTACATCCTTCCTAATACAGGTATTAATTTCCTGTAAGACCACAGTGAAGGGTGAAACCTTCTGCTCAGGCTTTCATATAGAGTGAGATTTTACTGTGATTTTTTTTTTTCTTTTTTTGGTACCGAGGATCGAATTCAGGCCCTTGTGCTTGCAAGGCAAGCGCCGGAATCACTGAGCTAAATTCCCAGCCCAAAGAGTGAGATTTTTAAAAAATGTTATGATGCCCAAACTGTACCCACAACTTCGATATTTACAATGTAATTTTTTAAACTGAGCAAGTGTGTATATACATATATATATATATATATATATATATTAAAATGACCCCTATAAGTCAAAGGACAATTCTTTTTAGAAAGGCAACTTAAACACTGGCCAAGACTATAAATCCAGTTAATTTCTTGGGGAAAAATTTCACATTTTTTTTAAAGGCCTCCCAGATGTGGTGAGGCAGTTATAAAAACCTAACCTGATCTACTCTGCTTTCAGCAGAAGGTTAAATATAATTTGTTCACCTTCAATCTAATCATCAAGTCACTAAAAATGCATATGGATGTAGTTAAATCACATCCAGACATTTGCTTTTCATTTCAAGGTATTTTAATTTACAGACTATCTTGAATCCCTAATAAAGGGTCAGAAGTTGAGGCAGCTGGAAGCAGCAAGAGCAGCTCATTTCCTGCAGAAACAGTTCTTGCACAAGACATGATAAAATGTGGCGGGCTAATATAAGAAAGACAAGCAAGCCCTGTCCTTAAGGTGCTTTCACTCTAAAGTTCTATCAGATGGCAAAGTCACAGCTCTTAAATAAGAGCAAAAAACAATGCATCATACTGGTTGGCTAGAAGGAGCTGAGCTGCGGACCTTTCAGGTGAGCTAGTCACACTCTCATGCCCACTGGCTGTTTCACTGTCAAAGTCACCAAGGGCTGAGGAGGTTCTAAAAGACATAGCGAAGCAAGTGATGGCAGGAGAGGTGAGGTAGGATATGGCCTAAGGAGGAAGCAGTAAGGCAGGACTTCTGGCCATATTGGCTCCTTGGCTGACTATTACTGGCTCCATGATCACTTTCCAAGGAATTCACTAACTTTCTATGAAATGTGGCATATATTAGAGGGTATCAAGATATACCTTAGTTCATTTCACAATCTATTCTGATGTCTTAAAACAAAATAGTGCCAAAAAAAGATTTTTAAAAATGTCTACTCTGGAAGCAAGTAGAATTGGGGGAGGCAAGGGTTCAGGAAGCAGCAAGTCTTTGGGTAGGATCCTGAGTAGCTACAATAGGAGTCAGTATGGCCTCTTCCCAGTTCTGTCCAATATCAGCAGCCATGACTGATTCACCAGGACCCCTACCACTGAGGGTTACAAAATACAGGTACAGGAGGTGTGGTCACCACTGGCATACAGCAAAGTGGTAGGGAGAAAGCTCAGTGTAAACATCACCTTCACATATAACCAGAGCTGAGCAACAGTGAACCATTTCTTCAAGATCTGGCCTCATTGAAAAGGTCAAAGGGCTTCTGGGTCTTTCTAGAAACTTATCTTTAAAGGAAAAATCCCTGAAGGTGTAGGATGACCACCGTTAGGACTTGAAAATGCAGATAGGTTGTTGGGTCATGGTAATTGGAACAAAGAATGGTTAGGGGAAGAGGGTGAACTTCTTTAGAAGTTGAATGATTTAGAGAAGTATGTGGAGAAGACAGCTGACCAACTAGATGGGTAAATGAAAGAGCTCATGGCATTAAGCAGAATTTTCTTTTTGGGGGGAACCAGGGATTGAACTCAGGACCTTATGCTTGTGAGGCAGAAAGCAGCACCAATGAGCTAAATCCCTGGCCCCTAAGCAGAATTTCTGTCCAAGGATTTATTATCTGAAACTCTCTTACAAATTTGATAGGAGAAGAAAGCAATACCTGAACAAATGAAGGGGGATTTACAAACCAGTTCTGTCAGAAAATTTCAAGCACAAAACAAGAAAGGGCCTGGGGCCCTGGGGGTAAAGCTCAGTGCTAGAGCACTGGCCTAGCATATATTAGGTCCTGGGTTTGATCCCCAGCACCATAAACAAACAAGTAAAAAGGAAAAACAAACAAAGGGCCCGGGGAAAAATTCAACTGCTCCTACTCACTATGATACCACTACAGAGCACAGTAGCTGCCACGAGCTGAAATGGCTCCAGTCCAGGAGTCTGGCACTGGCTGAGTGTGTTAAGTTACAGGGTATATTGCTGCTTTAAAAAATTAAGCACCTCCACCCCTGACCCTTGAGAGAGAAAGTAATGGACAATCAGCCAGCTTCCCCTTTGATAGTGCTATACACTACCTATTTTCTGAAAAATGCATTGTCTTTGCAAACTAAAGCAGAGACCCTATCAGTTTTCTTCATGGAGCAGCAGCCTCAGCTTTTCTAGAAGGGGCCTTCCCTGTCCATGTTACTCTAGCATTTTTGACCTGTGGAGGGCTTCCTTGGAGAGGTAAGAACCCCAGTGTCTCTTCAGAATTTTATAGGTTACCCTGGTCATGAGATACAACAAGGTCATTTGTTCCAAGATTGTATCCAGACAAAGGAGGGGATAAATGGCTCAAAACACATTTGGCACGAGTGCTATTCAAGCATCCCTGTTTCTTGTTGTAAGCTAGATTATGGGTCCACAGAGCCTATCCCCATGCTCTACTAGTCCTGGCTGGCCAGAAGCCAGGGGAGCTCAGGTGTTACTCCAAGACGGAACCCTATTCTCAATGCTTAAACCTTCCTGTCCTTAAGTAGATCTCTGAAAGGCTGAGCCCAGTGCTATCTGTCTCTGCCAGAAAGCAGCTCAGAAGCATGGAGTGGGTAGGGTAGAGAGGAGGGCTAGCATAAGAAAATTAGGTAGGTGCTGAAGCCAACCACAAATTTCTCAAGAGATGTATGTTTTCTTCAATGGCATTTCTGTTAACTTTTGTTATTGTTGTTGTTTGAAACAAAGTGCTATGGCCTGTATCCAGATGTCCCTCCAAAGCCTCATGCACTCATAGGTGGGACTTTTCAGAGCTTGCTGGACCTAGATACAGGGATTGAGGGTACGTGGCACTAAATTAGTCCCACTGATTGGAATTAGCATAGTTCTGGGTATGGCTGAATAGATTTACTGAAGATAGAAGCCCAACTCTGGGTGTGGGTGGTACAGCGCAAAAAGCTTATAGCCTAGATAGGATAAAAGGGAAAGGGAGGCTCACTGCTGCTGCTTCACTGCCTCCTGCAGCTCTCTCATGGACTGTTTCTCCTCTGTGATGCCCCCTCTACCATGCCACTCTGCTTTGGAGACAGTCGACATGGACTGAAACCTCTACAAACTGCGAACTGAAGTAAACATTTCCTCCTTTAACTTGTGGATGTCAGGTATTCTGTCCCAGCAAATAAGAAAAGTAACTAAGCCCCAGGTCTCACTTCGTAGCCCAGACCTGCCTTGAATTCACTGTTAAAGCTCAGGAAGGCCCAAATTTGTAGCCTTTTGAATGCTGAGATTCTCCTTTGTGCCACTGTTCCTGGCCATTTTATTTTTTACTTGGATCTTAAGGGCATTTTCATCTATTTTATGACCTATTTTTTCCCTATTAGTGAAAAACTATCAATTTTGAACATGAGTTAGCATAGAGAAGAGTATCTATATATTGTTTATTAATTATGGAAAGGGTGTTTCATGGTTCTAGTTGTATAAAGTCATAAGTGAGCCCAAGTAAGTTGAGCCTTGTGCGCTTGCCTTAAAACCAAACTGTTGCTGCCACTACTCTTCATCCCAGTGCCCCAAAGAACCAACTCTGAGTCACCTATGCTGAGATAGGTCTTACTGGGTGAAGAAGGGATCTGCTAAAATTCTGGGCCCTTAGGATTAGAAGGCTGGGAACTAGAGAGGGTAGTAGAGGTGAGAGGCAAACAAGTGTGCAGGACTCCGGGTCCAACTCCTACCTTTTCTCCCTGTTTCAATCAGAATAGCTAAGTTTTTATGGCTTTACACATTAGCACTATGATGTCAGGTATGATTAAAGTGAAGATAGCATGTACCTCCCACAGTAGATGAAACAAAGTGATTGTAGATAAATATACCTAGCACAGTGTGGGACACACAGTGGATGTTAAAAAATGTTAGCTATTATTCTCTTTGGATTCTACATTAGATTTTGTTAGAAGAAAGGGCTTGGAAATCACTAATTTGGCCCATTTTCTTCCTTTAAAAAAAAAAAATAAAGCCAGGCACAGTGGTATGCACTTGCAGTTCTAGATATTTGGGAGGCTGAGGCAGGAAGATCACTTGACCTCGAAGCCAGAGGATGTAAACAGTGAAATAGTGAAATGAAGTCTAATTGCCCCAGCCATGGATTTCTGGAAGGTCTTACCAGAGTTCCATCGGTCAGGGTACAGCCGGAGAAACGTTTTGCCAGAAATCCTTCAAAGTTAGTTGTTCTCTGAATAGCAAAAAGAAGCAATTTCACCTCAATTTCCTTAGCTCTGGCACGCATGATCTTGGCAAGTTCTGCCCTTCAAAATAAAGAATTAAGAATGCTATCAAACAAACTGATCATTCAAGATGAGAAGAGTAAATGCCTTATCTATAGGAAAAAAATGTACATGATCACCTCAGACCATGCTCTGAATTCTAGCATTAGCAATTTAATCTAATACCTGAGGGACAGAAATACAGTAGTCCTCCCTACCCACAGTAGACAATTTCCAAGATGTTCCCTAGATGCTTGAAATGGCAGATAATACTGAACCCTGTATGTACTGTTTTTCCCTATACATACATATTAATATTAAGGTTTAATTTAGAAATCAGACACAGTAAGAGATTAATAATAATTCATAATAAAATAAAATAATTATAATGATATACTATAATAAAAGTTATTTAAAGTTTATGAATTATTTCTAGAAATAAAAGTTATTTAAAGTTTATGAATTATTTCTAGAATTTTCCATAGAAAGTGAAACCATAAATAAGGAGAAACTACTGTATACACTATAAGTAAGAATTTTAAGGTAAAACATTCCTCTGTTTAAAAAAGATCAAGAATTATGGATAGTAATCCAATAACATAGTTACTATTATGTTTACATATCTTTAAACCTTTCGATAATTTGTAATTATATATATGAAGCACTTGATATTTTATTAAAATACATATATCCTTAATAATTTCACAAATCATGAATTACTAAATTACAAAGATCTTTATCTTCTAGACAGCTCAACAACTTTCTTTACTTAGAGTGAGGACCTAAGAAATAAATACCCATGAGAGACTGAAACCCCCATGAGAAAAGTGACATGTACATCTTGGGTGGCTTCTACCTATGAAGTTTGGGGTGTAACTCACCCAAGTTTTCTGTTTCAGGATATTGTTTTTTAGGGAATGGTGACATGTGAATGCTTTTTTTTTTTTTTTTTTTTTTTTTA